GGAGAGGATCTACTCGCTCAGCGCGAGGCTGATCAGCAGATTGCTCATGAAGAGCGTCAGAGAGGAGAGCGATCAGGTGTTAGCCGCCAGGCTTTGGCGCGCTGTAGTAGGTGCAGAGAGACTGGCCATAACTCGCGTACGTGCAAGAAAGATACTCTAGGTACTGCTTAATCTATTATGTTAATATGTAGTAAAACAACTATATTGTGGTGGAACTACAGGCTTATAGAGGTGCGCAGGTTTGGTGGGGTGCGGCGCTCGCTTGCCTGCGGCGCTCGCTTGCCACATACGTTACACAAAAACATTGTAAAGTTGCAGTAAACTCAGTATGCGCTGGCGTAAGCCCCCCAACCCAAGCCCTGTCAGCCAGCCAAAATGCCAAGATATGTGCAGGTCAGCTGTGTGTGCACCGCCGCCGCCGTCCCGTTGCCAGCCGCTTTCAGCCATGAATTTGTGTGTGTGTGTGCCATGATCGTGATCGTGATCATGATCGTGATCCTTGTGCGCATGACTGACTGACTGACTGACTGATTGCCTGACGATCGCGATAGACCATGTCATGCGTGTCAGAAACTCTAAAAATCAGGATAAATGAGTGGGAAAACAGAAAAAAACTTTCTTTGATCAATGTGACGATGTGCCAATGAAGATTTTCCACGGTATTTGTTGATTATTCTGATTGGGTGGGTGGGTGGTTGGTTGGTTGGTAGATTGGGGGTGGTGTGATGAGAGAGTGGTTTTTTACTGGGAGACTGGGTGAGTAAGTGAGCAAGTTGAGTTCGTTACGATAGTTATTAACAAACGCCGTTACATGTAAGTAAGTAGCCCTTGACGCCTCAACACGCGCGGGAAAGAATTGAGGAAAAAAACGTGATTCAGATGTGGCTTTTTGATTAGTAGAGGTTATTTAATTAGCAGATAGACAGTAACCAGTAAGAACAGTAAAGGCGACACCCCTGCTGAGATGGAAAAGGGTTGAAATCATTCTTCGTATTGCTCGTCGTCGTCATTGTCGTCGTTGTTGTTGTGGTTGTTATATATAAGGTGTGTAGTAGTAGTCTATATCGCTCTGATACTTCACTAAGATACCAATGCTGCCGAAGCAAAGATGAAACGATAGGAAGGATTGAAGAGAAAGATGAGGAAGAGAATCGCAAGAAAGGGTGGGGAGGGGGTATCAAATGTCCGGCCTTTGCGTAGCGAATAACGTAGAGAAGAAGAAAAAAGAAGAGAGGAAGAAGAAATGCAAGCTGCGTCGGGTTCGTCCAGAAAAAAAAAATGTCGCAAAATCTTCATTCGTTGCGTGGTGTCAAGTCTCCACGTCAATACTGTGTGACGTGTTGCCAGATGAAATGTGTCCGTGTTTCATCAGACTTCGGCATGTTTGTTGGCCGACAATTGTAACTGCCGTTGTTGTTGTCTTACATGTTTCGCCAAGTATCACCTTGGAGTGTCTGACGTTTTGTCGGGTGAAATGCACACAAAGCCTTTGTCCACAGTTACCAGCCACCCGCTGGCTCTATCCTCCGCGTCTGTGTCTGAAAGTAGCCGTCAAACACGCTCAACTCCGGTTTGCGTGGGGCAGTGTGTTCCGAAATGTCGACCAGGGTTGCTGTTGTTGTGCCGTTGACACCCAAGGAAGCAGCTGCCTGGCCGCTGAAACCTCCCCCATCTAGACTTCGTCGTCTTCCCCCAGCTACCTTGCCACTGTTTAGGCTGGCGAGAACAAAGCTCATCTTGATCCTCTCCTTTGGTCGCGGCAAGAGCATCTTCTCAATGATGCTGAGCCATTCCGCCTCTGCTCTCAGCTGCCTCTGCTTTCTGCCTGATCCAATCAGGCCAGTCCTGAGGCTCGAGGTGGTAGCCGCGTGCAACCTATTCCGCCAGCTTGCTACTCGGTCAAGATGTGCGTGGAAAGAGGTGTCTTGCGTTGAAGCAGCTCGGTGTTGCGCGAACGCTGTTAGTGATTGGCCATGCGCCACAGTCATCATCGTGAGGAAAACACATCCTAGTGAGAATACATCTGCCATTCTCTTGCCACGTGAGTGCGAGTGAATAGCCTCCGGGGCGGCGTAGACATATGATTGGTCCTGCATGATGGTGTTCAGCTGGTCTATACGCAGCGTGTCTACCATGGTGGGACTAAATGTGTCGACACTTTGGCCAATGTCGAAAGGCGCAAAAAAGACGCGTGCTCCGTCCATCAAGATCTTGCGCGGCCGAATGTTCCGGTGGCATATCGACTGCGAGTGGAGATACTCGAGTGCAGAAGACAGATCCTGCATCCAGTCCACGAGCAGTTTCGACCGGTTTGGGTCGGTTCCAGGAAGCGCGAGGAAGTCGTCCAGGCTGTACTGTGCCTTTTCCGTCAGAACCCCGACGTGGTTTGGCTGAGCATATGAACAGAGAATTTTGGCAATGTTCTTGTGCTCGTACTGTCTGTATCTGATAATCTGCTCCAGTAGTGCAACTTTTTGGGCAGGGCGAGCGATGACGAAGCGCTTTCGTACCAGGACACGGTCATCAATGTTGCCGAGCATCCGAATTCTATCCACGCTCTTTTCAGAGTTGCGTGATGATCGGATTAGGCTGATATGCTGTAGTGGTAGCGTTTCCCTCGCCGTGAAGTCGACATGGCCACCGTTTAGTGGTAGTTCCTTGGATGTAGCACGCCACTGCTCCTCAACAACCTTGCGGGCATTTGCTACGATGCCCTGTAGACGGTCTTCAGGAAACGGCAAGCTCTCATCTCTGAGGTCGAAAAAGGACGCCTGGCGCCACGAGGCTACGTCGTCGCATACGAACAAAAGTATCGCAAGCCTTGGGTTTGACAGAGTCCACTGCCAGATCTTCTTCACGAGTCCGGCATCCCACCCTTGCTTTCGAACAAGTTCATAGAACCAACCAGACAGGGATTGGCCCTGGGAAGACAGAATCGACGTGTTGATGAAGCCATTCACCAACGGCACTAGCGGAGGAGCCGGCTGGCGGTATGGATTCGGCGAGCCAGGATAGTCACCGTTTCTAAATGTCTCCCCGGATGCCGAGGGAGGCGGCGACAAAGGCGCAAACCCTGCCACGGCATTGATGACTCGAATTGGCTGTGGGGCGAGGGGCGTCGTTGAACGGCTGTATTGTGGGGTATTGTCTGGGCTGCTTTGGGGCGACGAGGAATCTGTGGATTTGTTCGAGTACAGCGAAGAGGGACTGGTCATGACATTGGACCACGGGTTGTTGTTCATCTTTGTGGGCGTGGTACTCCGACTGGTGGCAGATGAGACGGACGAGGTAGCTGGAGACGAAGCTCCGCGGGTGTTGTACCACTGGTCCTCGTGAAGATTGACCATGGAAATTGTGTGCTGCAGACCATGCTGGGGTTTAGGGTACTCCATGGCAGGCGTGCGCCATGGAGAGTTTGAAGCGTGTTGCATTATTCCTGTGTTTGGGGTACGCTGGGGTCGGGACAAGGGACGCGTAGCTGACTGGGTGAGGTGCAGTCGGCGGGTCGTGATATAACCGCCAGTGATGGGATGGCAGTAACGAGTGTCGAGTCGAGTCCAGGGCGTGCAACGCTGCAACAAAAAAAAGGGGGACGTCAAAAAGCAAACAGCACGCAGCGGGCACTCGGGTGGTGAAGAGGGCGAGAAACTGGGTTGAAGAGAACTTGGGACCAGGAGCCCCAGTCGGCACAAGAAGTACAGCGGCACCTTTCGGGCAGCATCGACCTTGTCTGACACGGATAGGGCAGAGTAAGGCTGGCCTCAGCACGGGTCTAGAGGCTTTGATGTGCTGGCAGACTTGCTGCCCGCATTTCCTAACGCATTAGTGGAGGGCGACACTATATGGCTTCCTTCGGTGGGTGTACGTGTTGGGCGAATGCACGCTGGGCACGAGCGCAACCCATGCGGGTTAGTTGTATGCAGGCGAACGTGGCCGCCTCAGAGTCGCCTTTGCGGGCAGAGACACACAATATGCATACGTTCGCAGCCATGGCTTCCCGTATGGTGCCAGATCATCCGGCGTGCTGATACTGGCTGGCGTGGAGCGCGCGCGATCCGTTCCGACGGCAGCAGAGGCTGTGAGCGGTGTGTGCCTGAGCAATGTCGTGTATCTGTGTATGTAGCATGTAGTATGGATGGGTGGATGGGTATGCGCCCTGGTTGTGCACGGCACAAAGCGCGCACCCGAGAGATAGTCGATGGATGGACGACCGGGCTAGCACGACGGTTCCTCGGACATGGACTCACAGCTGGTATTCGCTGTGGGGATGGCGCCGACACGTTGCTGGCTGCCATGGTTCGTCTGCCGAGGGGACCTGGCATGGAATTTTGCACGGCGTTTCGTGTCACGCGGCTCACCGTCTCTTGTGGGCGGCGCGGCGCGGGAACAACAAAAGCCCGCGTGGCTGACGACAGTCGCTTAGTAATAATGGGGGGCGTCGTGCGCATGGCCGTGGCAGTGGAGCGAATTCGTCGTACGCGGTCCTGAGGGGCAATGCGCCTGAGGCCAGGGCATCGGCAGCATCATCATCATCATCGTCGTCGTCGTCGTCGTCGCCCTGACAGCCCCAGGTGACAGCGGCTGCTCCCTTTGTCAACTGTGTGCTGCCGTCAGCTGGTGCCGAGGGTGGTGCTGGGACGCAGTTCATGCGAGATGGTTCAGGGCGCGCACAATGCCGTGCAGAGGTTGCAAAAGAGGTGAGAGTCGGGCATGCAATACGCTGTGGCGACCAGAGGGTGAAACCGCGCAGTCGGGAAGGCGCGGCGCAAACGACGCCCATTGGCCGGCGCCGCGGCGTCACGTGAGCGGGTAGCGACAGGCTGAAGCGCCGCTAGTTTGAGCCTCGCTGCCCAGAAGCAGACCTCAACACCAATTGTCTCAAGGAGTCCTGTCTTCTCATGCCAACGCCAACTCCACTCTCCACAGGCCCCATCGCCTGCCCGCGGCTTGGTTGGCCCTCGCCCAATGCGGCTCCCACGCCCCAATTTGGGCCCGCGTCCGCATCATCGCATGGCATCGTCTTGTGCCACCCGTCACAGCTTCACGCAGACCCCGTCTCAACTCCGTTATACGAGCTTCAGTCCGGCTTGGTGCTGCTTTGCAAGTCTGGCGCCCGCCCTAGTCACGCCATTACAAGCTCACTGCCGCCCGAGCCACACGCGGCCGTCATTCCCAGCGCTGTGTTTCTTCATGCCCACCGTTCCCGCACCCCTAATTTTTACATTGCTAATGATACTGCCAATGCCCGTTTCCGTTGCGTCGTGAGAAACTTTTGTATTGTCGTTCTTTTTTTCTTCTCTTCTCTACGCCACTCCTTTCTGCAACATCGCTGCTGGGCAGCCCGGCCATCTACACACTACCGACTTTAATATTTTCCCCTCGACTAATACCCTAGCCATCCATCATGCTGTTCAAAGCCGCCCTGGTTGGCACCCTACTTGCTGCTGGCCATGCAACTGCTTTGAAAGGACGTCACGTCAACGCCCTTCTCCAGCCGGGCCAGGACGTCGAGGAGGTCCTGCGACGCGACGCCGAACTCATGGCCACTCTGACGCAACGACAAGACGCAAACTCTGCCGATACGGCACCGCTAGCATCACTGACACCGGCGAGTGGTGACGCGACAAACGCAGATCAAGCAAAATGGGAGGAGCAGACAAGCAAGGCGTGCAAAGCCGCGCTGGGCAATCTCAACGGCCAGGCCTCAAATCCCAGTGGGATCGCCGTGTGCTATAATCTTCCTTTTCTTGACAAGACAACTGGTGTCTTCCAGGCCGAGCTTCGAATGTATAATATCTCAGCTCCCATTGCCCCATGGGTTGGCGTCACTGCCGCCGATGTCAGCATGACACTATCCTACCTTGGTGCAACTGTGCAGGCCATGCAAGGAAACTTTTCAAAGCGAGCTGTTGGCTCCATAGTCGCCGAGAGCCAGATTGTCGAGAGGCAGCAGAAGACCATGATGACAGAACTCAAGGTTCTCATGTATGTGGGCAGGATCAACTCCAACCTTATAGGCTCCGCCATGACTGAGTAAGTAATATGAATTTGCGCCAAATCACAGCTGCTAACACTACACTCAGGGCATCTCTCCAGCCTCTTCTGGTCCCGCAAATCGACCTCGCTGCCAAGAACCCTCGAGATGGCAAGGAGGTCGAGACGACGCTGTCATCTCAGGAAGCCTCTTTCGTCAACGGCATCTTCTCCAGGGCTGGCACCGCCCCTACCAATGCCGATCCCCAAGCCGCCGCCTCCGCCTCCGCTGCCGTCATCTCTGCCCAGCCATTTGTGGTTCCGGGACAAACCTTTGGCGTCTTCCCCACCGGTCTCATCATCACTTCGATATGGGCCTTCTTCTTCTGCGTCGCCGTCGGCTTCGGTACTTATGGCCGAATCCAATACCGCGACCAATACAGGAGGCGCGTAAGAGCCGAGATGGCTCGTGGTGTCCGTACAATCTAATCTACCACGCCATAGTCCTTGATCCGTCCGCCATCCTCCTCCCCACCTAAATTGCTTTCTGTCTTGTTTTTTTTTTACATCTATCCTCGCTTTATCTCCCCGTGCTAGAATCGCCAGGTTTCCACGCTACCACGAAGACTTACATTCGCTTGTATACCCAGTCGTATCAATTTCTTCTCTTCTCATTTCTCTTTTTCTATGACCCTATTGTATATAATTCTGGTAAAAAAGAGGCGGTATTTGGTTGTTGCGCAGAGAGCGAGAAAGCGGGGGGGAAGCTGGGCTTTTTCTTTATATTTCTTAATTTGTTGCGCACGCCCCATACTCCTACTACTCCTACCAAAAACCCCACCACCACCACCACCTCCTCCTCCTCCTTTCGAAAGCACCCAGGGTACAAATGCGAGTTTCTGCTGGCAGCGCCAAAGCACACTCTGCTAGAGAGAGAGAGGGAGAGAGAACGCGAGACACAAGAGAGATAGAGAAAAATTACGATACAGATAGCTTCCTAAAACAATGTAAAATTCAGTATCTCCGATAGAACCGTCCTTGCTCATTTTACTTGGTGCCTTGTTATGTGCCTTGCCTTGTCCTTGTCTCACCCTCCGGTCTTGTCTGAGGGGGGGGGGAGGGATGCCTGCGCCACACACGGGGTAACAAAAAGTCAAGTGTTACCACTCAAGCGCCTCAGTTGCGGCTGGGGTATTTGTAAGTGGGATGGATTTGCAACCCTGGGGCTTACAATCAGGCCACTTTTTTTTCTCCCTTGTTCTGCATTTCCCTCACGCATGCTCCCCTTTTTCTCACTCTCACGTCTTGCGTTCTTTGCATTGCTCCGGGTCGCCGGACTTGCCCGTGTCTCACCAGCTCATGCTGATGAACGGTGCTAGATGTTGTAATTAAAAAATTCAGCTTAGTATTATTGCTCGATGTTAGCTAAGGATTTGGGTTCCCCCGCCAAGTGCACTTATTTCCCTAGTGAAGCACCCAGCCCAAGCAACTCTTATTTAGTACCCAGCGCTATTGTATAAAAAACAAGCTTTTGGCGCAGGAACCAAAGCTTAAATTACTTTGCAACCCCTTCCTTGGCTAGGAACCTGGTCAATCTTCTTTTTTTCTGGGGGAAATGAAAGGTTGCTATTTGGTACAGATTTGGTCGTTTCGGATAAAGAAGTTGGGTTTGGGGGTTTTGGAGTCGCCCCGTCGTCTCTGCTTGTTTTTTTGAAGCTATTTATGGGAAGGGCTAGAGGACGCGTAGGTGTTGTTGATATGGGGGTGTAGGGCCTGGATGGCGGGGGAAGTTGGTGGTGGAATTGGGGTGAGTGGTTGTTTGGGAATGCATGTCGTAAATGGATGCTTGGTGTTGTGTCTCAGGTAAGGCACCTCATGAACGCTGCCAGTACCAGCTGCTCAGCGAATTTCCTGAGCCTCCACAGAGGTTTGTGAGTAAGTTGCTATGGATGCACGACTTTTTCTTGGTCACTGTATTGATCAGAAACCCGTCTGAAAGCAGTGTTTCTGCTCAAGTGTGCGTGGGCTTATGGTGATCAAGTTCCTTCCATGTGATCTTGCTTTCAATCATTGCACAATCGCAGCTGCATACTTATTATTTTCTTGTGAATTCTTGGCAACGACATGACAAGTGAGTGCGTGCATGGTGACAGTCATTGGTATCCCTGTACGAGTAGATGAACTTGATATTGCTTACCCCAGCCGGTTCCCGCTGTTATGGCCTTGCCTGATGGGGCATAGCGCATTGACGGGGGTGTGTACTTAGCGTAGGATGGTCACTACTATGATTACTACTATATTATACTATTTTGACCATGACTTTCATGCTCCTATTTCGGGTCATGTTTTGTGTCACAGCATGCACCGTACGAATGAAGGCTGAAGTAAGAGCCATGAATCGGTACCTGTGACAGCTATTCTCGCAACCCCGATAAATATCCAGTTGAAGTTTGATCGGGATAATAGCGGGAATGAAATGGGACTAGTGCTCTTCGGATGGATGGACACATCTATTCCTCGTCCACTAAGTAAGAGCGTCATCCGAACAACTGATCAGTTCCCAAAGAGTGATTGCCACAAAGACATCCCCCACTCATCTACTATTCACCTACCCAGTAGCCGCCGAAATCGTACTAAATGTCTTGGCTGAATCTTTCTCCCGGTCGTTTGCACAACGCTGTACGACCTTGACTATCCACTTCGTCGCTTGTAAGGCAAACACCCACCCACCCACACATTCTTCTTATTCCAAGCTCTCCTTCACATCAGCCCGAGATATCCATTGCCATTGCCACTACTCCCACGCCCATATCAGATACAGAAAAGAAAGAAAAACCCCCCAGGAAAATCAACACTGGAACGTGCCGTGCTAGCCATGAACCTTCTCACACACGCTCTGAATCTACTCATCAGCGCCATACTTCTCGCATCCGTCCTCGCCTCTCTCAACCCCTCTTCTCCCGCGCTCAAGTTGAACCTTTCTCCGCGCGACATGCTCTGCGAGATATGCATTGAGCGCTACGATTTCTGCGTCGAGGTAAGGTGTTTCTCCTGCCGTCTTTGAACCAAGGCTAACGAGTCGCGTGTTACAGAACGGACATACAAAGGGCCAAGCGGGATGCAAAGAGACGTGTGCAGAGCATGTGTGCCATGTACAGCGTAGACGCGGTGTTGAGGTACGTTGTTCCAAAGTCTCTTATTCCACTTTTTACTACGTATTTCCCTGCTAACGCGGTCTTTTGGGAGGTCTTTACAGTGCAGCAAGTGTGGCGATGCATTTGCAGTTTGTGGCGAGACATCGAGGTATGACGTTTAGAGCTGGAGAATTGCGTGTAAGAACAAGAACTAGGTGTGCGGTACGGGTTGGATAGTCAAGACTGGTTTGCGTTGGGCGGGGGGATATTGATTCGAAAAAGGGAGAGTAGTAGTAGAAGATTGGATGAGGGAAACTTGTAGCTTTTCACTGTAGTAGAGAAGGCTTAGAAACACGATACGTGCCCACCATCCAACGTATATAGTCCCAATGTACCCGCACAAACATCCACAAAAAAGCTTCCGTTAATTCCCAAATGTTTGTCTACGTCAAACAAGCTCCTTTTCTTCACGAGCCATAAACAAATACAGCTCAAAGCCTCCCCTTCACACCCGCCCACTCGCCACTCTCCACCCTTGCACACATTTCCTTGAGCGTGTGTGCCGCCCACTCGAAATCGCGCATGTCAAGGTAAACCTGGCCGCTGAGGCGCGTCCACCACTTCCCAGCATACCAATACACCATGATGAATGTATTGTACTGTTCACTGCTCAACTTCTTCATCCAATCCCTGACTTTGAGCCCCGCGTCGTCGGGATCAATGCCAGCGAGCCTGGCTGTCGCATGGACTTTTTCCAGGGAAATTGGGAGCAGCACGTTGGAGAGACAGCATTGGCCGAGGGTGCGAGTACGGTTTTCCAGCACATGAGTGCCCAGGACTGATGCGACGTGCTGGCCGGCTGCTTGTGCGAGTGTGGTGCAGTACGAGCGGATGACGGCTTCGCCGCCAAGAGACTCGCGCCATTTCAGTGCTGTGGGGACGCACAAGTACGGGCTGGAGTCTATGGTACCTACGAACTCGAAGTTTGCGACAAATTCTGGCTTCTCGCTGGATGCAGCGGTACCAGCAGTCTGCTGCTCCGACGTATTCTGCTCAGCGCCTGTCTGCTGGCTGCGATTGTGATACACGGGCTTGGAAAAGGGCGAGACGAACTTCCCGTTTTTGGGCGTGAAGCCATGCGAGGTGGGGAGCGTGCTGCGGATGAGATGCTGGGCACGGTGTGCGACGTGGAAGATTGCCGTGCCGCGGGGGACATGGAGCCACTTGTGGCAGTTGCTGACGAAGAAGTCCGGGTCCAGAGTACCCAGGTCGATTTCGACGTGGCCAACGCCGTGGGCGCCATCGATGCAGCTCAGGATGCCCAGTTCCTTGCTTTTGGCCGTCAGACGCTCAAACGGCAGGCGGATGCCCGGCATGCTGACTACGGTGTCGAAGATTGCGATTTTGACTTTTCCGCCTTTGGCCTCGACGTCTCGGACCTTACTTTCGAACTGCTCGACGAGCCAGTCGTCTTCGAAAGGGAGGGCGTACTCGACCTTTACGGACTGCGCGGGCGTGGTCTCGGTAATGTACGAGACGGTTCGCTCGCAGGCACCGTAGATGTTACTGAAGATGAGGATGTGGTCTTCTGGGGTGAAGACGAGGTTGCGCAGGACAATGTTTACACCCGTGGTGGCGTTGGGGACGAAGACCAGCGTGGAAGACGGCGTGTTGAGTAGCTTGGCCATGGCTTCCCGGGCTTCATCAAGGTACCGGGGGTAGTCGTAGAGAATGAACTTGTCGGGCTGCGCTTCTGAAGCATCCTGAAAGGCTCGCAGTCTATCACGGACAGGACGCGGGTAAGTGCCAAAGGAGCCTGGGTTTGTCAATACACATGTCGATAAGGGAATTTTGACACGGCAACATAGCTCGACATACCGTGATTCAAGCCGATGTATCCTTTGTCGAAAAGAAACTCTTTTTCTTGGAGTTCCTTTCCAAACTCAATGCCATCTTTCGTCTTAATATCCGGGACTCCGTACTTTGAGTTTGACGTCATGATTTCGGGCGCAGTGTGGCGGATAGTGCTTATGATGGCAAAACAAGTGCCGTATCTTGACAGCTATATATACAGCGAGAAGAGCTGGGTCTGCTGGGCTATGACTGTTACCTCTGCCGTCGTGTTCGGTTGTAATGCATACTAGGCGTGCAGCACGCCCTGCATGTCAAGGAAGGCAGGAATTGACCAATCGGCAATGCTGGCGGCTAGTGGCGGATTTTTAATTCGACCACTAGTCATTTCACTGTCCAGCCCTTCCTTTCGAGCCTTGGCCGAGAATTTGCTTACATAAATCCATTGCTGAATGCACAACGAGGTTGAATAGGCAGTTGGATCATTTCCGGTAGCAGTTGCATGTCGTACGAGAACATGAAGGCCATCAGGTTCTGTTAGCCTTGGCGAGCGAAGCGTAACCAATACCGTCGACAGGCCATGACTGGGCATAAGTGGGTCGCTGGCTTACATATGCACCCCTTCTCTTATCCGTGTTCACACCACCACTTGTTCCGACTCCAGACTAGAGTTTTCCGTGATTGGGAAAGAAGGATAAACGGCAAGGCGTCCCCCAGCAACAGGTCGTCGAGCTAAACTTCAATTCCGACTAGACACAACAATTAGCGTAAAGCAACTCTAACCATGCATCCACTCCTCTCTCCTCCACACATTGACGTTCTCGTCATTGGCAGCGGTAATGCAGGATTCTCAGCAGCCATTGCCGCCGCCGAAGCCGGCGCCCACCGCGTTGTTCTGATCGAAAAGGCGTCGGAGGAGTGGGCTGGAGGGAACAGCTACTTCACCGCGGGCGCGTTTCGAACTGTCCACAACGGTCTTGAAGACCTACTGCCCATTGTCGGCAATGTCGATGCCGAGACAGCAAACCTCATCGACATGGAGCCCTATACCAAGGCCGATTTCTCCAAAGACATGCATCGTGTGTGCTCCGGTCGCTCGGATGCCGCGCTGAGTCGCATCCTGATCGATGACTCCAACAATGCTGTCAAGTGGCTAGCGAAAAATGGAGTCAGATACCAACTTTCTTTCAACCGCCAAGCCTACAAAGTCAATGGCCGATTCAAGTTTTGGGGCGGCATGGCGCTTATGACTCAGGACGGGGGTAAAGGATTGATTGCAGATCATCAGGCTGCCGCTCGACGACACGGAGTCGAGGTCTACTACTCTGTACCCGCCAAACACCTCGTAACGTCTTCATCGGGTGCTGTGGCAGGAGTGGTGGTTGAGTGCGACGGCGTAGACGCACGCATTGCTGCCAGCGCCGTTATCCTTGCAGCAGGAGGCTTTGAAGCAAATCCACGTATGCGTTCCCAGTTTCTGGGCCCCAATTGGGATATAGCACGCGTTCGCGGCACACCCTTCAACACTGGCGAGATGCTCGAATACGCCATCCGCGACGCAAATGCTAAGCAAGCTGGAAATTGGTCGGGCTGCCACTCTACCTGCTGGGACGCCAATGCACCTGCTAATAGCGGCGATCGCGAGGTATCCAACGAGTTTACCAAGTCCGGGTATCCGCTCGGTCTCATGATTAACATCAATGGCGAAAGGTTTGTTGATGAAGGCGTCGATATGCGTAATTATACCTATGCAAAGTTTGGACGCGCCATTCACGAGCAGCCGGATGGTGTGGCGTTCCAGGTGTGGGACCAACGCACGATATCGTGGCTACGCGATGAAGAGTATAGAGATGGACGTGTTCAGAAGACTCGGGGCAATACGTTGGAAGAATTGGCTCAGAAGCTTGCGGAGAATTCTGGGCTCGCCGCTGCCCAGCGCTTCGTCGAGACGGTGCAACAGTACAACGAAGCTGTTTATGCATTTCAGGCCGAGGCCCCAGATAAGAAGTGGGATCCAGCGGTCAAAGACGGCCTTTCAACACAGTCTTCCACTAACAAGTTAGCTCTAGCAAAGTCCAACTGGGCCCTGCCGCTCGACAAAGAGCCCTTTATGGCCGTCAAAGTGTGCTGTGGCGTCACCTTTACATTCGGCGGACTGGCTGTGAATCCAGAGACTGCTGCTGTCATTTCCAATTCTGGCAGAGAGGTTGGTGGTCTGTTCTGCGTCGGTGAGATGCTTGGAGGACTATTCTACGGCAACTACCCCGGTGGCAGCGGGTTGACGTCTGGTGCAGTCTTTGGTCGGAGGGCTGGAACTGCGGCGGCGGGTTTGGCTGCAACCATGCCATCGGGGTCGCAACCATCCGTTTCCGCTGTCTAGTATTGCCTAGTATGAAGGAGCAGGGAGAAAGGAAGCGAATTGATGGATTGTTGGGTACCCTGAATTCTTGGTTATTGCAGTAATCCTCTGGCTAGCCTTTCCGAGCACGTCTTGTAACCCGCCGGCGCCGCTAGCATTCAGAGCGTCTCACAAGAAGTGTGGATCGACTCAAATCTGCATTTCCACCCTGAGACGGTCTGCCGCGACTTTGGCAGCAGTTTCTTCCCATCTCGTAGCTCTCAAATAGACACTTGATAGCACTGTCCTTTGCTTGGTTCAACTTCCTGCAAAGGCGGCTTCATGTACCCTGCCTCCTTGAGACCAACCTCGTCGGAAATAGCTGGATTGCTCCGACTCGGATATTTTCAAAATAATATCTATTCATCGACAAAAACGCCGTGGCCCGGTTTGCTGCGAAGCTGTCATGGCCAGTATGCATCCGGGTATTAATAGTTCCAACGCCGTGCCCAAGATCAAGTCGATCATTCACCGCTTTCTCGTTCGCTTGGGCGCCGGCTTTGGCTTTGCGCGATTGGTCCTCCGGGTGGTTGGGGCGCTGTCTTCTTCCGACTCGACACTAGATTCATCTTCGTCATCATCTTCATCCTCTTCTTCAGCAGACTCAGATACGGTACTCTGAGGCTTGGTATTCTTGGTCGCATTGGGCCCAGGCCTAGCAGCCTTTCCGTTCTTTGCAGCCCGGGCCGCCCTTGTTCCCTTTGTGTTCCTGGGCGTGGGGGTAGCCTCTGCGACGCTCTCGGTCTTTTGCGAGCGCACGCCATCGGGGAGGTCCTTGAGCAGACCAATGCCGGGCGCGTAGAGGTCCTTGTACTCTTCGGCGGGAATCATGGGCGGCGACGAAGCAGCGGCCGAGTCTTCGCGGTGGAAGCGCTTCTGCCACATCATCTCGCCATAGTCGTCCTCGGGCAGTTCGAATTCGGGAAGGTTGGCGGCGTCTTCGGGGTCGAGCGGGTCAGGCTCTTCGGCAAAGGCAAACTCGTTCTCGCGGGTATCCAGCGCGTCGAGGTCGTACCATTGCGAGAGCTTCTTCCATATGCCGGGAATGCGCGTGTGGGGGACATGTTCGCCCGCGAAGCCGTGAGAGCGCATATCGGTATGGATACTAATCATCCGAAAGTGCTTGTGCAGGCCTGGTAGGGTTAGTTTGGCGTGTTTCAATGGGGAAACATGTAGCGCGGACGTGCCTGTGGGCTTCCACTTCATCATGCTCTTGAGCAGCTGTGTCTCCTGCTCGTCGACCCACGGATCGCTGAGGAGCTCATCCTGCGACTGCACGGCGCTCGAGTCCTGGGGCGTCTTTGGCTGCGTGTCGCCGAGCGGCGTTGAGGCAGCGCTGGCCTTTGCCTTCTTACGGGGCGGCATTGCGGGGGGTGAATTGGGCGGCGCGTGCGTGTCGTGGGGAAGAAGAGGCGTTGGTCGCGAGGAAGCGTGAGGGAAAGGCGCAGGGGTTCGCGTAGGGCTGAGGCGCCGCCACTCCTTTGGCGCGTCATACCCCTCCCTCCCCTCCCACTGCTACTCGCCGCCGCCGCCGCCATGGATGCGCCGGGTTCGATTCACAATGTCTTCAGTACCGATCGCCTGTGGGAAAAGCCGTCCTTTTTTGACCCCCGCGAGGCCCACGAACAGTCGCTTTTCCCGCCGCTGCAGCTAGATAGTGAGCCGTCGCGTCTCCCCCGCGAAAAAAACGTGGACGCGTCTTGTTGACCTGCCCTCTTAGTCGCCGCCATCCGATTCGACCACCCCTATGCCCACAAACATGACCTCGACCGCGAACTGCGACTGCCCGACCTCGAGACGTTCGAGTTTGGGCCGCTGCCTGAGCTGGATAGTCTGGATGAATCCAGCGTTTCCATTGAGCCTCCGCCCCTAGAGCCCGACGAAGACGTGTGGCAGGCCGCCCTCGACCAGGGACCCGCAGACAAGGACGTCTTGTTCTACACGTGGGAATCGTTCGAAAAGAGAGAGCATGTCCAGACCCCGTCGCCATATGTGTCCGAGCATGGAGCTGAAGCATTCGACGCTACACTGGCATGTGATCACGAGAAGCGCAGTGCCGGCAGGATACTCAAGGCAGACATTCTCCTGCAGTCGCTCTGGAACCTCGGCCTGGGCCGCACCTCTATCCTCTTTCGCTTCAACCCTAAACTGAAATCCTTTGAGCCTGCTGTCCTAGAAGGGCGAGCTTCGGGGTTGAGTCTGCAGGCTGCCCAGAGTCTCATCACTCATTTCACCCACACTGGCAACACGTTTCTCTACTTGCGATCCTTTGCCGAGCGCACCTTTGCATCAGCCACATCTATACCTGCCAGAGTTGCCCTGGCTACGTCTGTATCAAGCATTCTCGCCAGCCTCGAGGATGCTCTGGGAAAACAAACTTCCAACATCAGGTCCCTGATCCAGCTGCAGCACCGGTTCGCCAGGCCGCGCAGTATCCTCGTCCATGTTGCCCGTATGGTCGATGCTGTCAAGCACGCAAAAACCAACGAGCAACTGTCTTCCATCATGCACCACCGTCTGTTAGAGATTGAAGAAGGCGACAGTCAAATCCGTCAACTATCATGTCAATTACTCTGTCAAGTAGCCCAGCCCAGTCTCGAACTGCTTGGCGAATGGATGGGCATACGAAAAGAGCAAGCAGCCTTGCCCATCTGGCAACGCGACAGCTTCGTAACACTCGAAGATCCTTCTGTTGATCCAGCAGCCATTGAATTTGCGTATAGATCGGAAATGATGCCGAGGTTCATCTCTCCCGAAGACGGCAATACCATATTTGAGACTGGAAACAGTCTGCGCTTTCTCAAGACACTACATCCACATCACCCGCTGGCTCGCTTAGATGGGCTGGCTGTCCAGCCTCCGGATATGGAGTGGGGGTTTCAGTGGCAGGACATTGACAAACTAGCATTAAAAGCAAAGGCCTACGAGGAGAGGCTCAGGCAAGCGCTGCTGGCCTTTAGTGAAGGACAGGACAGTGTTATAGACCCCTCGTACTTGTATGCACCTGAGCCTGCAGCAGAGGTTCCTACTAAAGCCCAAGAGCTCGATCGGTACTTTGAAGACTCTATCCAAAAGATGGACGCCTCGCCAGAATGGTCTTCTGAAACACTGCCTGATGAGTTGCAGCTCCTCATGGAAAGCATACTCAAGAAGAAAGGCGAAGAAGATGACATGACTTCCAACAAGTTTTCGCCGCCCATGTCTCTAGCCTCAACTCTGTCCTTTCGACCGCTAATCACAGCACAAGCAAAGCTGGTCAACGCGGCCACAGTCCGTCTGTTCTTCCGCTCTCACCAACTGCGTCTCCACTTATCATTACAACGGCAATACCACCTCCTTGGTGACGGTGTCTTCTCGTCACTGCTAGCGACTGCCCTCTTCGACCCAAATCGTGAAAGTGCCGAACGACACAAAGGAAGGATGCGCAGTGGAGTGCACATGGGCTTGCAGTTGGGCTCTCGCAAGTCGTGGCCGCCGGCGAGCTCAGAACTCCGGCTGGCACTGAGAGGAGTTCTTAGTGAGAGCTACTACTCTTCGGCACTCTTTCAATCCACCCAAAAGGACGGGGAGACATTCTCGCCCAAGACACACTTGCATAATCGAGACAACGACGAACTCCCAGGCCAGCTCAACTTTGCCATCCGCAATCTCACTGAAGCCGAGCAAGAGAAGGTCATGGACCCTGATGCTCTGCATGCGCTGGACTTTCTACGACTGCAGTATGTAGCACCGCCTCCGTTAAATCTTGTCATCACTACCGCCGCACTGGACAAATACGACTTCATCTTCAAGTTTTTGCTGCGACTATTACGAATACTCTTTGTAGTTTCTCATCTACCCCGCGAATACCCTGATCCGGATTCTCGACACTTAAGGATGGAAGCATATCACTTTGTGATCACGCTGACCAACTACGTGTTTCAAACTGGCATTGCCGAGCCCTGGAATGAATACGACTCGTTTGTCTCAAAGTTCGAATCACGTCTTGACCAAGAAGATATTGTCGGCGAACTGGGCGTGCGCGTAACAGAAGGCGTAGCCTCCTTGCGTGATGCGCACGAGAGGTGTCTTGACAGCATCCTGTTTGCGCTTCTGCTCCGCAAACGCCAACGCAAGGTCATGGCGCTTGTGGAAGAGATTTTCGACCACATTCTCCTCTTCGCCAAGATGCAGACTGCGAAAACAAAGAACAACGAAGAAACTGTCAAGGCACTCTACGCAACGCTAAGGGGCAAGATACGTGTCTTCTTGAGTGTGTGCCGTGGTTTGACGGGCAAGCAGGGCTACGGCAAGGGAAGAGGTACAGCGGAAGAAAACTCCATGGAACGGCTAGTTATTGCCATGGAGATGAATGGTTATTTTGCTGCGTCATGAAGTGGAAAAAGAAACGTGGTCCAAGTAGGTCTTGCCCCACAATTTTCCTACAAGCTTGAAAGCCTCCTTACCAGTGAGTCTTCCATGATCTGTGACGGAATCTACGGCACGGAACGTGTAGACCATCCCGCGCGCAGTAGCACTGAGCCTTAGGCTGCCCAATTAGTATAACGGTGATCTGCAGACATTAGGCGCATCTTCCTTTTGAAGACTAGGAGGCTGGTGGGGAACTGAGCTATTACTAGTGAACCAAGTTGCAATGCCAAAGTCAGTGTGACGTGAGGGCTAACCACGATGACTTTGAAAGTACCATGTAAACACATCAATGCTAGTAGTCGGCTTGCAGGTAGCTAGCACCATGATAATGTAAGGTGAGCCATAACAAATATGTCTGCTTGCTGAGTTACATGTGACTAGTCCTACACTCTGCATCACCCGGGGTGATGAACTATACATAAAGATTGGTTCTGACGTCTTTTTGCTTTTTCTCATCCATTTGGTTTCCGTGCCTTGTTTCTCTCCAGCCGAGTTAACCAGACTGCATCTCTAGTAGCTAATGTTGTGGTTTTGGTGTATGTCAAACTAACGAGGCTATCGTGCATTTACTTTTGGCACAGTATAAGAGGAGCTCCACCTCAGAATATTCCAAAGACATCTCACACTCATCATTTCCATCGGTCGCGAAGAGACTATCTGAGACTCCACCATCGCTATGGCTCCATACTCCTTCTTATCGCTTTCCAAAGCACTCTTGGTATCCTCAATCATTACCCAAGCCACTTCTGCAGCTATCGATGATGCGCCGACTGTAACAATCGCTTCTGGCGTGGTCATCGGCACATTCACCAAGCCCATCAATCAACCTGATTTAGCCGCCTCAGCCAACGCCTACCTAGGCATTCCCTTTGCAAAGTCACCTCCAGAGCGGTTTTCACCACCCGAGCCGGCACAGCCATGGTCTTCTCCGCTGAAAGCGCAGGCTATAAAACCAGCATGTATACAGCAGTTTTCGGGCAAGAACCGAGACAAGGTCATGGAATTGTTCAACAATCCGCTCTCTGACGCTCCCGAAGAGAGCGAGGATTGCCTGTATGTCAATGTTTACACGCCGACTGGTGTGAATTCGAGCAGTAACAAGGCTGTTATGTTTTGGATCTTTGGGGTGAGCTTATCACTGTTAGTTTGAGTTTTGGACTTTGCTAACACACGTAGGGTAACTTGGAATTCGGCACGGGTGGACTGGACTACTATGATGGGAGCTCGTTGGCTATCAACGAGGATGTGGTCGTAGTCACGTTCAACTACCGCACAAACAGTGAGTCTCTTCAGCTTCTGTTCAAATGTTGCAGTCGCTAACCGCCTGGTGCTAGTCTTTGGTTTCTCAAACTCCCCAGAGATAGCAGTAGGATCCCAGAACTCAGGCTACCTGGACCAACGCTTTGCTCTGCAGTGGGTGCAAGACAACATTGCCAGTTTCGGCGGCGACCCTACGCGCGTCATGCTATTTGGAGAATCAGCTGGCGGTGAATCAGTGAAGCAATTGCTCGCCAACCCACCCAATCCACGCCCCTTTTCCTCTGCCATTCTGCAGTCTCAGCAAGCTCTCAGTCGCAGCAACGGACTCACTAGCTACAAAAAGGTTCTCGCAAAGTTCAATTGCAACGACATCGCCTGCCTCCGTCTTGTTCCCGCCACCGAGATAAAAACTTACATTGAATCCGAATCCCTCAGCTTCCCCCCGGTAAACGGCGACGGCACATCCGTCCGCGACGTCCGCCCCAGCATTCTCACCCGCAAATGGGCGCGTGTACCCACCCTCTTCGGCACCACGCTCAACGAAGCCCGCATCTTCCTCGCGGTCCAAGGCCTCAACACGCGCACCAGCAACAGCACTGCCCTCGCCATCGCCTTCGAGCAACTCAACCTCTCTGCCAACTCGACTGCCCACAACAACATTTTCTCCATCTACGCCACAAACGGCATTACGAATCCCTACGAACTCGCAGACCGCATCCTCACAGACGCAACCTTCACATGCACTACCTCCGCCCTCAGCAATTTCCTCGCCCTAAACACATACACCACGTACCGCTACCAGTACGCAGGCGTGTTTCCCTCCGCCAGCATCTTCGACAACGCAGGCGCGTACCACTCGAGCGAGAACATGCAGGTGTTTGGCACGTGGGCGGCTTCAAACCAGTTCGGAAATGCAACGGACCAGCAGATCAAGCTAAGTGCGTTCATGCAGCGCACGTGGGCGGCGTTTGCCAAGGATCCGCAGGCCGGTGTGGGGTGGCCGGCGGTTGGGCGTGCTTGGGGCAAGGAATTGGGTATGTTGGGAAAGGGGGAGAGTGAGGGCGTGACGGTGGAGAACAGGATGACGACGGATTCGGTCTGTGGCTTGTATCGCGGTATTGGAGAGCTTTCGGGGCTGTTTTGGTAGCGGTTACAAATAAGTATTGGCTGGTGAGTATGGCTGTTTGGCGATGTGTTTTGTAGGGAGGTTCGAAAAGGTCTTGGATTCCTTCCTGCTGCGTTAGAAGTTATAGAGTTGTATGGGTGGATTGTATCAGTGGACTATTGTGGTAATGGCAGTAAAGTCAAAATGATGCCCGACATATATTTTCAATCCTAGGAACTAGCTCGAGTCTCGAGCAACCTCGGCCATCCGGATTACCAAGCCTTGATTCTTGATTCTTGTGACTTGCTACTTCAACTCTTTCAGCTTGCTCAGCAACGAATCCATACTCTCCGCATACAAGTCAAACTTGCCAAAAACATCCGTGCAAGGATCGTGCTCTTCAAACATCAAGTATGCTGTCTTGAACCCCGCCTTCCTCGCTGCAATCAGATCCCACGCATGCGCCGCAATGAACCACCTCTCGCCCTCGTCTTTTCCCAGCCCTCGCTCCGATAAATGCTGGTTTGCCTTCTCATACACCCTGACATCTGGCTTCGCGACTTGAATCGCATCACAGCTCAACAGATGCTCAGCGTCCAGCTCAATCCCCGCGTCATGGTAGTACTTCAGCGACGTTTCCGAGCCGCCATTAGTAACGCCGTAGACATCCCATCCGGCGTCTCTCAGGCCCTCAAAACACTTCTTGAGCCCCTCTCTCGGCCCCATGCTCTTGAACGCCTTCATAACCGCCTCGACATCTTCCTCGGCAACCGCCTCAATCGGCACATCGACCACGGCGCACGCCCGGCGGAACGTCGACCTGAGAATCTGCGCAATCGGCACGTAGGACCCCGTCATGGATACATAGGTGAAGTCGCGCTGCGCCGCGTAGAACCACGAGAAAAACAGCGTCTTGGCATCCACGCTGCCGACCTGCAGTTTCTGGCCCAGACGCGCCTGGATGGCTTGGATGGGCGCGGAGAACTCAAAGCATGTGCCGATCACATCGAAGGATGCGGATTTGGTCATGGCCGAGGCTGAGAAACGGGAATCCGGATGAGGCTAGGAAGTCTGAGTGAGGTCGTGTCGTGCGATTGCAATGTGAAACGGGCGACATGGCGGGGAATGTATTTCTACTGTGCTTGAAGATCCCGTGACGTCAGATGGTCGAGATACCCGTCTTGACATCTGGATTGCGCAACTACGTAGCCTCACTCATCTCTACAGCCGGCGATTCTATATAAATAGGTCACATGATGCTCGAAACATGGCGGACCATATTCCTGAAGCGTCGCTCGGCCCCCACACGCGATGCGGGTCTGGGGGGAGCTGAAGGAGGGGTTGGTACCTAGAGGTGCTTACCCGCCAGGCCTACTTACAGTAGCTGTTTTATCTAGGTATCAGCGTAAAACATCAGCCCAGCCTTCCCCCATTTCTTTTACTTTTTTCTCCATTCTCCATCCTTTCTCTCTTCGTATTTCCTGGGTGAAGAAGAGAAAACGAAAAAATGCCGAGCACAAGGAGAATAGTATACTCGGCGCTCGTAGTAGCGTGGGGCGCGTCCTTTTATCAGCTCGCCCTCAAGGATCTGCTCAATGTAACGTTTGGGCTGGGCAGGGAAATGCAAAGTATTGAGGAGTTTCCTTACGACTGCAGACGTATCGAGCATCCAAGCCTGGAGGCTTGCGAGGATATATGGCTTGACGATAAGGGACGGACGCTGTATGCTGCGTGTGCGGGGACAGAGGGGAGAAAGTATTGGAACCAGGCGTAGGTTACAGCTGAGAGATGGCATGTTGATTCGCCAATGCTAACATTTTGAAGCATGCAGCAAGTCAATGTAACTGGACGGCGGCCCGGCGGCTCTGAACTCCTGGCCCTTGACATTGACAATCCCGGAGCAGACGGCCTCTTCAATTTCCGCGCCATCAAGCCGACGGGTAGCTACAGAGGAGCTACAGGAAACCAAGAACTCGATCTCCTTGGATTTGACGCCCAGGTCTTGGACGACAAGACGATCCGGTTCTACCTTGTCAACCAGCGGCCTCCGGTTGGGCCGTCCAACGAAATCATCGATGCATCTACGACGGGCGATAACTCTACGATTGAGATTTTCGACATGAAAAAGGGTCAAAAGACGATGCGCCATGTCCGTACGATTGCCTCGAGTGAAGTCTGGACGCCAAACCGTATTGCGACCTTGGGCGATGGATCGAGTGCATTCCTTGTGACCAACGACCACTCTGCCAAGGTTGGCCTGGTAGGTGAATCACTTGATAAACAGGTGTGAAGACTAATAATATCAGCGCCGAGAACTCGACTACTTCATCGGCGGCGGCAACATTGCATACTGCTCTGACGCAGGCGAATGCCACGCCGCCTATTACGGCCACGAAACCGACGAGTCGACTGTCGGCCCCAATGCCACGTCCAATCCCTACCTGCAAACCGCGCTCAGCCTGCTCCCAAGGTCGCAGCTCAAGTTCCCCAACGGCATAGCCCGCGGTCACGACGGCCTGTTCTACGTGCCCAGCACCATCGACGGCAAAGTGCGCGTCTTCGCCCTCGACAAAACCAACAAGACGCTGCGCCTCGTCGACAGCATCCACGTCGGAATGCCGCTTGACAACATTTCGCCCGACGCAAACGGCGATTTGTACGTAGCGGGCATTCCCATGCTCGGGCAAGCCGCAAAGTCGTTTTCGGAGCCGTGGAAGCAGATTTCGCCCGTCACCGTGTGGCGCATCAGCAGGGCAGGGGATGCCGCGGTACCGGGCGGTGCGGGTTATAAGCTGGAAAAGGTCATCGAGGATAAAGAGTCAAAGGTGCTGAGTGGAACGACGACGGTAAGACATGATGTCAAGACTGGCCGGCTTTTTATGGGAGGTAAGTGCATGCTAGAGTGTGCATGTGTGTGTGCTAATTTGATGTGTAGCTGCGATCAGTCCTTACCTCATGGTGTGTGAGCCACGAGCAGCGGCATAATTCATGCAGTATCTTGCTGGTGAAAGTAAAGAATATTCCAGCATTTCATGTCCGTTGTTATTTCATGTTTTCCCTATTTTCCAGTTTTCCAGTTTTCATAGCAAGAAAGATGCCCGAAGAAGGAATACCAAGAACGACACACTAAAAAAAAACACCGAACAGAAGAACTCTGAATTTTTTTTCTTTCTTGGAAACGGGGGGACACAACGTGTTTATCGTTAGACTACACTAACCTACTTACTTGCAAAAGCAGGGTCCTGCCAAACACCTGCACTTGTCACATGTAGCATTCCTGCACACACACACACACACATACACGTGGCCCCCTCCCTCGCACCACTACCACCACATCCATGCAGCATCCGAGATCCGAGATCCGAACAATCCCGGTTCCATGCCCAAACCCAGACCACACCACACCACACACAGCACACGACGACGCCTCAAGATGCGCAGACCCCTACAACGCCAGCACGGCCATCGACGCTGTCACTAGGACTAAATACCGCTAAGCAACGCAACCCACCCAATACCTCACACCGGCCGGTCAGCCACACCGGTGCCCATCCCCCCCCCACTCTTCGGCCCCTGCATCCGCCCAGCCAAAGGCCAAATAAAAAACCCCAGACAGAGAAACAAGAAACCCCATTCCCCGGAACGCTTGACTCTCTGCCCCCCCCTACCCAGCCTACCCCGAAACCAGAACTATTGAAACCGAAAGCAAAAAAAAAGTTGGCATAACGGGCCGATCAAGGGGAAAGAGGCGGAAAAGGAGGGAAAAAGGGAAAAGGGAAAAGGAAGAAAAAAGTTGGCACTGCGTTCAATGGTCAACTGGGGTGTGGGCGTGAGGACCGGGGGGAAAGTTACTTGTTTGGGGAATTTGACTCGTCTTTTCTGACTCTGCTTGGTTGTTTGGAGGGATCTTGGTTTCTGCATGGGTTGTTTGGGGGGGGATGTGTGCTGGGGCTGGTGTTGTGTGGGGGAGGGGATGTGGGAGGGTGAAGGTAGAGGTAAGTAAGTAAGTCATGTTAACAAGAGCACTTCTTTCCTTTCCTTTCCTTCATTCTTTCCATCTATCTATCCATTGATTTTTCTGTCAAACCCCAAGCACTTTCCCACTGTATCCTCGATCCAACACACACTTTCTCCCCCCCAATGCCTGCACATCTGCCTCTTTCAGACCGGAGACCCCAAGCGGAGCAAAAGCAAAACAGGGCCTAGTCGCGGAGAATTAAAAAAAAATAAAAGAGTAAAAAAAGTGGGGAATCATGGACACCTCCCCCTCCTCCCCCCCCTTGTGAGCATGATGAAGCTGGAACGGGACGGGGACCAAAAACTTTACATTACGTGTTCGTTGTCACATACGTACATGTACATGTACATGATTCACACACACACAAACTGCCAAGTCTCGTCATCACTAAGAACTGCCCCATGCGTATATGCATGCATGTATGCATGCATGTATGTATATATGTATGCATGCTGACTACTTAGTAAGTTCCACAACACGTAAGCCAGTAAGTAAGGCAGTATGTATGTATGTATGTATGTAAAAGTGCTCAATAAAAAGCGTTGTATTCCATCTATTCTAACCCGGCTCTTCGAAAAAAAATGTTGAGCTCAGAAGTTTGGATGACTTTGTTGTATACGCGACGCTTGTTGCTCCCTGCTCTCCCCCTCTCGCCCCCCAATGTAGTTACTTGGCAACTCGCCCGCACACCTCCCCCTCATGACCCAACAGCCTGGTGGTGTGCTGGCGTATATGCAAGAATTTGTTGCACAGGCGTGGTGGCCTCTTTTTTTTTTCCCCGCCCAGTGTAGGGAATGTAATTGTCTCAGTTTGACCAAGGGGGCTCCCAATAATAAATCTGAGCAATGCTCGGACGTGCAATGCGTCGATTCCGCGAAATATTCCCGTGGAAATGGCAGTCGGCAGTAGATTTTTTTTTCAAGCTGAATCACACGGCAACTTTCATCCGGGCTGGGACAGAGCCATGCCAGCGTGGTACGCACCGGCAAAGTCGAGCTGTGCCAGCTGCCCGTTAATCTGACCAATCTCTTTGTTCAAGTCTTCTAGGTTCTGGGCTAAACTCGACACTTCGTCAAATCTTCGGTGCTTGGTCGCATCCGCCACCATTTCAGACACCATAAACTTTTGCTCTTCAAGCACAATCAATCGCTCCTTGAGCTCCTTCTCCTCAGTCTCCATGGCTGACACCTCGCTACTGCTCACCACACTGCCGGCCGAGTGGTTGTTGTACTTGATCGACGCCAACGCACTACCGCCATTGGCACGTCCTTGGGGAGCGGCGTGTTTCAGAATCTTGGGGAGCGCCCGCAGCGGGAGCATGTGCAAACTCAAAAAGCTGTAGGCTTGCTGGTAGACGGCCCTCTGTAGTTTCTGCTGCGTCGGCGAGTCGGTGGGCAGGTCGCGCATGCGCTTAGCTGCAACGTCGAACTGGGCGAATCCGTCCATCAGCCGCTTGCGGACTTTGGTTGCGTCGGTCAATTGCTGCGGCGTGGGCGACTTGTCTGGATCCTGCAATGCTTGTAGCAGCTTGTGGAACCGAGGGAGAAGCAGGCGGATCCCGCGTTCAAACTGTGCGAGGTTCTCGTAGGCGCGCTGGTCTTTGGGCTTGTCGGCGAGTTCGCGCTCAAAGTCGCTCCTAGCGAAGAGCGTGTGCTGGCACTCCTTGCACATGCGCACGTCAACGCTGACCTGGCCTGCGTCCTTTTCCGTCGTCTGCGTGCTGGCAGCCACATTCAGCCCTACCTCTGTCGAGCACGCCGTCTTGGGATCGCTGCAGACGACTCTACCGCACATGCGACAATGCGATCGTCGGAACGTGTACGTGGAAAACTCCTGCTGGCAAAAGGGGCAACTCGGGACCGTTGCGTCTTCCTCCCATGTGATGATGGACTGCTCGAGTGCTTTGCGGTGATTCTTGGCGCCAGGGAGCGAGAACCAGCTGCCCGTGGTGGGCGTCTCGTCGGCGGGCGGTGGGTTTGCGAGGAGCTGCGTGAGCTTGGTCAGGCGCTTTTCCAGCCGGCTGACCTCCATGCGCTCGCGGTCGACGTGCTTTCGGCGGATTCTGGCAAACTCGTCAAAGTGGTCGCGCTCGAAGCCGCGGTGGTCGTTGTATCCGTCTCTTGACTTGTAGCACGTCTCGCACACGCGGCACCAGATGCCGCGGACGGGGTCGTGTTTGGCCTGGCGCGACAGCTTCATCTGGTACATGGTGTGCTCCTCGCAGAACAGTCGTCCGCACTGCCTGCAATTGACGGCCTGCATGGCGCCGCCAAGGGCCATTTGCGAGGCGGTGATGGGGCGGGCGCAGAGCGGGTCGGCGCACACGTCGCGGTAGCTGGGGCGCTGCCAGTGGGCGCGCGTCACGTCCTCGTCTGGGTCTCTGCGGACGGCGGGCTCGTGGGCGGCGTGGACATGGGGGCTGCTGGGCGAGGGGCCGGCGTAGGGCAGCGAGGGGACATCGTTGGACTCGAAGACGTCGAGGCCCTTGAGCTTCTGGTTGAGGACGGCGAGCGGCTGGAACTTCTTGGCCTTGTGCATCTGGGCCTCGAACCAGTTCTTGACCTCGTCCTGCTCCTCGACGACGAGGTTCTGGTGCGTGTCGTCGAGATGTCTGAGATGCGTCAGGGTTACATGCACACGAGGCGCGGCGGCGCGGCGGGTACCTGTTGAGCTGCAGCAACGTGACCTGCATCGTCGGTTCAGCAAACTTCATCTGGTGTCGCCGGCAATGCATGCGGCTGCTGGCAAACGCACCATGTCTTCGTTGCAGATGGGGCACACGAGCCTGCTCGAGGCGCTCGCGGCCGTGTTCCTGGCGGGGCCGGCGAGGATCTTGCTGGCAATGTCCTCCCTGGACTCGGCGGTGCTGGCGGGGCTGTTGGACGTCTGGGAGCTCAGCGAAAGGGAGCTCTCCGAGGGCGAGAGCAGGCTGGCATTGCGGCGATGGACGGCGGCGTGCTGCGGGGAGGCGGCGGCGGCGGCGGCGGCGGGCGACAGGGCCCTCGCGCTCCCCAGCACGCGGCCGCCGCCCAGAGACCTGCGCGAGGCCATGGTTGCGAGAGTCGAGGAGGAGGGGAAGAAATGTCGGCGGCGTGGGAGCAGAGCACAGCATGGCATGGGGGAGAGTTGGACGTCGTCAGTACATGGGGGGGCCCGTGGGTCCTGCGGCGCTAGGCATTCGGCCGCAGGGCTGCATCTTCTCCATGCACATGTACTTACATGTACACGATGCTATGCCTGCCTGCGCCACACAAGAGGCATCTGTGCATACACAGTCCATGGCTGTTCTTCTGCTTCCATGCTCGCCCCCCGTCGGCTCGCGGGCGCGCGCTGCTGACGGGCGCTTCCTCTGCCGCACATGTAGTGTATACATGTGCAGTGCAGCGTGCATGGCGCGAGACGGCATCGGCGCCGGCAAAGCAGCGGCGGCCTTGGCAATGACGCCGCGGCCGGGCGTGGCGTGGAATGGCATGTAGCATGACTACTAGCCGCCCGCTGCTAGACAAATGGCCATCTCCGCGCGCCGCGCCCTCGCCTCCGCACCACTCCCTCCGCACCATGAAAGCTCCCTATCCCGAGATCCAAGGCGGCGGCTCTCTGATCCTCGCATGGCAGATTCGCAATAAACGCGTCCTGGTCGTCGGCGGCGGCGAGGTTGGTCCCCCCACTGCACCCAAGTACTGACGGCTGACAACAAAGCCCAGGTTGCGGCCGGACGCATCGTCAACGTCCTCAATGCCGACGCCAACATCACCGTCGTGGCGCCCCGCGACGGCCTCAACGAAGAGGTCGCCTACCGCGTCGAGCAGGGCCAGGTCGACCATGTCGACCGCAAGTTCGAGCCCTCGGACCTCGACGGCGTCGACATGGTGCTGACGGCCGTCGACGACCCGGACGCCTCGTCGCAAATCTACAAGCTGTGCAAGGAGCGCCGCATCGCCGCAAACATCGCCGACGTGCCCCCCGAGTGCGACTTTTACTTTGGCAGCGTCCACCGCGACGGCCCGCTGCAGATTATGGTCAGCACAAACGGCAACGGGCCCAAGCTGGCCAACATTGTCAGGCGCCAGATTGCCGCCTCCCTCCCCCACAACATCGGCAATGCCGTCCAGCGCGTGGGCGTCCTGCGCAGGAAGCTCCGCAAGATTGCCCCGGCCATAGAAGAAGGGCCAAAGCGCATGCAGTGGTACGTGACGTGCTCTGCGCCCGCCCTCTCCAACCTCCTCCTCCTCCTCCTCCTCCTCCCCCCTGCTGACAGGCTCACACAGGATGTCCAAGGTCTGCGAGCAGTACTCGCTCGACGACATCTGCGCCCTGACCGAGGAGGACATGGACATGCTGCTGAGCTTCTACAAGCCCGGCGTCGTCCCCTCGCTCGAAGCCGTCCGCCTGCAAGAGCCCGACGGCGCCTACGACGGGCCCTTTTTGATATGATTGATGCACGGCTCCAGGACACGGCGTTTGGTAGAACATGGTCTTTTCACGCCCACGTTGCGGCGACGCACATCTCCTCCTTTTGTATATCAATTGTACATTGACCTCCCTCGCTCGTTTTCCCAATCACCTCATCGCCAAATCACCACCAATCAGCGTCGACTGGCCCGAGCGCCAGCGTCGCACTTTTGCTCCGCATGCCCGACTTCCCCATAACAATCTTGCCTCCCCACCCAATTACAGATATCCAACAAGCCCGCCCATGGATCTCGGGCAGCCGCCGCCCTATGACACGGTCGACTTCAAGGCCCTCGCCAAGACCGACGACGCCTTCAAGCAAATATGGCAGCGCTCCTCGGGCAAGCTCGACTTTCAAGACCCCGAAACAGTCCAGGCGCTGTCCAAGGCCATTCTGAAAGCCGACTTTGGCCTCCAACTTGACGTCCCCAGTGACCGTCTCTGCCCACCGATCCCCAACCGCTGGAACTATGTTGCCTGGATGCAGGGCCTCATCGATTCCACCTCCCCAGACTATTCCATCAAGTATGACGCCAATCGCCGCGTCCAAGGCCTGGATATAGGCACAGGGGCTTCGGCCATATACGCCATGCTGTGCTTGCGATCACGTCCAAACTGGTCAATGTGTGCTACCGACATTGACAAGAAGAGCTTTGACTCTGCAGCCCGCAATCTTGCCCTCAATAATCTCATGACCCGCACAAAGCTGCTCCAAACTACCCAAATCAGTCCTCTTCTCCCGCTTGCTGCACTCGGCGTCAACCATCTTGACTTTACCATCTGCAACCCTCCCTTCTTTGCAAACCCATCCGACATGCAAGCCAGCCTCAAAGGCGAGGGCAAGAGCTGGAGGCCAAACGCGATATGCACCGGGTCAGAGAATGAAATGGTATATCCTGGCGGCGATCTTGGCTTCGTCACTGCCATGGTCAATGAAAGCCTTACATTAAGAGACAAGGTACAGTGGTACAGCAGCATGTTTGGCAAGATGGACAGCGCCAAGGCCATCATCAAGCTGTTAAAGCAACACGGAATCACCAACTGGGCTATCGGCGTCATCGAAGCAGGATCCAGCACAAAGCGGTGGATTGTCGCGTGGAGCTTTGGCGATCTGAGACCCCGAAATGTATGTACATGTTGATACAGCCATGTCCTCAAGAACACTAACTCCGCCCAGAGCCATGCGCGAATCGAGAAGATAGCAAACGAATACCTCCCTTTTCCCACTTTGTATCCTATCCCGCTTCCGCCTTCGGTCGAGCCCCAGGCTGCAAAGGACGTCATTACCACGCATCTTTCTGCGCTTGATCTCAAGTGGACTTGGGACCCTGCTACGTCGACGGGTATCGGTGAAGCCAGCCAGAATGTGTGGAGTCGCTCTTACCGACGCATGTATGAGAGGAAGCGCACAGAGGGTCTTGTTGATATGCAGCAGGATGCCGAGAGGAGTGTCGCGCTGGCTTTTAGGATTCGCGTGGTTGATCTTGCGAGGGAGGTGGTGGTGGAGTGGTTGAGGGGGAGGGATCAAGTGCTCTGGGAGAGTCTATGTGGGTTGATTCATCGGCATTTCAAGAAGTCATAGATTATGAATCACTCGACCCATTTCCCAGCCCCAACTCAAGGCCTTTTCTTCCATCAATCCATGATACCGCAAGCCAGACTTCCACTCACACCCTCAAACAATACTTTCCTCCCAAAACATGCCCTTGTCCATTTCCCCCGCAACCCCCTTGGCCATAGGCGGTCCCCCATCCTCTGCCTTCCTACCCGCACACAACGCCAACTGCGCCGCCGCCCCAAGTTCACCCACCTTGGCACCTCTTTGACCTCCCCTACTCCGACCACCACCACCACCACCCATATATCCTCCTCCCCTAGCGCCCCCAAATCCCGCTCCACCACCACCACTCTCCATCTCCCTCACAGCCCGATTCTCGCGATGCAACTGGCCCCCGTGTAAATCCCCCTTGAGTTCCTCGCGCACATCCACCTCCTCGGTTGTATACGCAAATGTCATCCATGCGTGCACTTTGCTCTCGTACCCCTTGGGCGCTTGCCCTGCTGCTAGCGCTCTGGCGGCGAGTACTTGTGGAGTGAGTGTGGAAGATGAGGGGTGGAGTGCGTAGTCTTTGTCGGTTATGGCTGCTGTCGACGTGTTGTAGCGGGCTGAGCCTAGGTCGTGGAGTTCTGAGGTCGACATGTTGGTGTTGAGGGTTTTGGGGAAGTAGTGGTTGAGATGTGGATGTTGAGGTTGAGGTGGAGGTTGAGGAAGAGGAAGAGGTGGATGGGGGAGAAAGTGAGATTTATATTCAGGTGAGAGGTATGGGAATGAGTGGAAAGAGCGGTTTGTTGCGGCGTGGCGGTGGTGCTCCCGCCTTTACTTGTGATTGGTGAGGAGGATACTGCGGGCTTAGCTTTGGACTGCGTGGGGAAGGTATAAGTATAGGGGGATCTAATGGTTGTGTCAGTTTCGGCAGTTTGAGTAGCTTCTGGGCGCTTGGAGATTTTGATAGAAAAGACCTTGGAGAGTATTAGTATTGTTTGCTACTTTGTGAGGCTGGGCAATCTGGGAAGAGTCAAGGTAAATTAGTCGGCTTGGAGATGGTGCGGCATCGATAGAATATGCATAGTGGCTTTTACAAGTAAAAAAGCAAGTGAGATTAACTTGACGCTTGAAGGAAGAGATTCTGTAAGACATGCTACGACACATACACACATCTTCCCTAAACCAATTCACATAAATCACATACAAACACACCTTCCCTACATGATTTCCTCCTCCCCCTCCCCATCTTCTTGTTCTTCTCCCTCTCCCTCATCCCCCCAATCCAACGCTTTCCGCCACTCCTCCGCCCGCTCCCGCTGCACCCTCATATTCTGCACAACACGCGACTCGCACCGCACATACCTTGCATACGCCTCCCATTCGCCACCACTCACGCGCCCAGCAGTCGCCACGCTGCGGCCCGCGGGATACGCATTGAAGCCTCCTCCACGGTGAACCCACACCTGCAGCAGCGCCGAGCACAAAATCTCCGCCATACTCGCCATGCTCTGCCGGAACACCAGAAACAGAATAAAAGCGTGCATGCGGAAATGCTGCGGGAAAATCCCCTCTTCATACAGATACGTGCAAATGTCCTCGACGAGATTCATCACGTAGTTGGATGACTGTCGCCGCCGGTGCTGGGCTATCCGCGTGTGCGACGACCCCGAGTATCCGCATTCGGCGGGCGGATACGCAAACGGCGTGTTGTGCAGGGTGAGGGGCGTTTCTATGCATCGGGCTTGGATGCCGTGGCACAAGCGGTGGAGCGTTTGTTCGCGCTTGGAGGAACGGGTGGTGGTGTGCAGGTATTTGCGGTGGCCTTGAATAGATGCTGCATGAGGTACGATCGGGTGCGTCATATTATCTATATGCCACGCATGCTCTGAACTGCCTTTCTCGCTGACGTAGTCTTGCACCATGGCACCGATGGCGAGATACTGGGTGGGTGTGGGTGGAGTCCCGTACTCGTCTGTGAGAAAGTGCGCGTAGATAGAGGGTTGGCTGTGTGCGCGATCCGAGAGCGCTGTGTATGCGGTTTGGAGGCTAGACTCTGTTTGAATACGCATTACCAGGTTTCCTGCTACGGCTGCCGTTAATACGGGTGATGCAGAAGCGAGAATCAGTGCGCAGTCACGCATGTGCTGCACCGTGTCCGTGGCGTCAATCACGCTGCTGTGGGCGTACTTGGGAAGCTCTTCCTCGAGCACCTCGGCAATCAGAGGTTGGTAGTGCTGGGAGAGGAGGAGACGGGCCCATCTTTGCCGCTGCTCAGCAAGCGTTTCTGCGCTGGATTCGCGGGTTTCGGGATTTGTACTGTTTGATTCGAGGGTACGCGTGTTTGGAGTTACCATGAACAGAGAAAAGGATGCTGAATTGAACGATGGGAGATGTGCGGGAAGGGGTCACTATTTGTATCAAGGCATTTGGACACGAAATGGAATGAGTGCTGTTACGTGGAGTGGATATTCAAGTTGTGAGATTGTCATGTCCGGTCTTTACATCACCTTGGGAAGCTGCTTGGCTGAGCTGCTCTGGTACTTGAATAATCATGTCTGAGGGCATATCCAGAAATTGACTGCAGAGAATGAATGTTAGCCCTTGCCAGAAGATAATGTGCAGTGAAGTGTAAATTCCTTGACAGACTTTTGACTCCAAGTGTCAAAGGAACGATGTGCTGGCAGCCGACTCAGACACATAGCAGCTTTCAGCATATTATGTGCAATATAGAATTAGTAACAAGTTAGAGGCCAGAGTGACGACGTGTCGTGTTAGTGGATATACAAGGCCGACGTTGACGCACCGGCAAGTGTGGCGCTGTGGCTAGTGAGGCTAGTATTTGACTCAATGCCCCTCCAGCCACTTGATACAGCCCCTCCAAGCTGCACACAAGCTGCATTGTTGCCCACACCACGCTCCACAGGTAGGTCGCGACTTTCAACGCGTTCTCTCCCCGAGCTAGCGACATTACTTGCAACGGTTAGTTTAGAATACACGCATTTCGTCCTGACACCACGCAGACATGGCCGAACCTTCAGCGTCTGCACCGCCCAAAGAGGAACCACCCAAAGAGGAGGAGAAGGGCCCCTCAAAGCGCGCGCTCGAAAAGGCAGCAAAGAAAGCAGCCGCCAAAGCCAAAAAAGCCGAACACGCTCTTCGCCCCAAGGAGCAGGCAAAGCCGACCGCAAAGAGCGAGCCCACCAACATCTTCTCCGAAGGTTGGCTGAAGCGCATCTACGAAGAGAAGCCCGTCACCGAAGTCAGGACCCGTTTCCCGCCAGAGCCAAACGGCTTCCTTCACATTGGACACGCAAAAGCTATTGCTGTAGATTTTGGTTTTGCAAAACATCACAATGGCAAATGCTACCTGCGCTACGACGACACAAACCCAGAGAAGGAAGATGAGATATACTTCAAGGCTATCCTGGACGTTGTCAAGTGGCTGGGCTTTGAGCCTTGGAAGATTACCTATAGCAGCGACAACTTTGACAAGCTGTACGAGCTAGCCGAGGTGCTGATCAACAAAGACGGCGCTTATGTGTGCCACTGTTCACGTATGTTAAACAATATACTTGAAGAACCAGGTCTGATGAGCATCAGGAGAGGAAATCAATAACCAGCGCGGCGGACCCGATAACCGTGGAAAGCGCTACGCCTGCGCTCACCGCACGCGACCAATCGAAGAGTCCATCGCCGAGTTCCGAGCCATGCGCGATGGAAAATACAAGGCTGGAGAGGCGTTCCTCCGCATGAAGCAGAAGTTGACTGATCCAGACGAGGGCAACCCTCAAATGTGGGATCTACCGGCCTATCGCGTTGTGAAGGAGAATTACCACCACAGGACCGGCGACAAGTGGAGAATCTACCCTACGTACGACTTTACGCACTGCATTTGTGATGCTCTGGAAGGCATCACGCACTCCATGTGTACTGTTGAATTCCGCCAGTCGCGTATTTCGTACGACTGGCTTCTGGAGCAACTGGACATGAAGATTCCAAAGTCGGAGGAAAAGGGACCCATGCAGAGAGAGTAGGTGACGCCATTGGTTTTAGGGGTTTTTTTTACTAAGAAATTGTAGATTCGGTCGTCTCAGTGTTGGTGGTACTATCTTATCGAAGCGACGTATTCTCCAGCTCGTTGAAGGAACAACTGTCGAGAAGAAGAATGCCGATGGCACAGTCGAGACGAAGAAGATTGCACCAGCGGTGCGAGGATGGGATGACCCTCGCCTGTTTACCATGGTCGCTCTCCGCCGCCGCGGTATTCCAGCCAAAGCGATGCTCAATTTTGTCGACGAGCTCGGCGTCACAGATGCGCTGTCTGAAATCGAGCCGCCGCGATTCGAAGCGTCAATCCGCAAACACCTAGAGCGAACAGTACCACGTCAAATGATGGTACTCGACCCCATCAAAGTCATCATTGAAGACTTTGCTGCCGAGGACGAGCAGGAGCTCACCGTGCCGTATGATCCCAAGGGCGCTATTCCTGGAGAGCGAAAAGTCAAGGTTGGCAATGCAGTATACATCGATCGCACTGACTTCCGCGAAGAAGACAGCGCGGATTATTTCCGTCTGGCCCCCAACAAGGCTGTGGGTCTGTACAATGTGCCATTCGCGATCCGTGCGACGTCCTTTTCCAAAGACGAGAGTGGCAACGTTACCGAGATCAAGGCCGTCAAGGTTCCGGGAACAGAAAAGCCAAAGGCCTACATTCAGTGGGTGGACGCTGCGACTGCTGTCCCGGTCACGGCGCGTCTGTACAACTCGCTCTTCAAGACCGAGTCTCCAAACACACTGGACTGGAAGACAGGAGGCTGGGCCGAAGACCTGAACCCCAACTCTGAGATTATCTACAAGAACGCAGTCATTGAGAAGGGCATCAGAAATCTCATCAGCGAGACGTCGTTGGATTTGAGCGGTTCGTCCGACGCTCTTGTCCGTTTCCAAGCCCTGCGCACGGCTTACTTCTGTGTCGATATCGAGTCGACCGAGAATGACATTGTGCTCAACCAAATCGTGAGTCTGAGGGAGGACAAGGGGAAATAGACTTGTAGAGTAGAGGTCTGCGCGCGGCGGGTTTGCAGTCATGGGCGCACTGGGTATAGCTGACGAGTAGTATGTAATTGCGCCTTTTTAAAGCGCCCTTACCATGCGCACATCCTCATATTCTCGCTGGCAAATCATTGAGTCGTTACCAGCCCTAACGGCATGTTCTCTAAAAAAAGAGTGGGGGTGAAGTTCAGATGGCAGGGCTGTTATTGGCTTGACGTGGCTAGCAATGCTGACGCAGCAGTGCTAACGATTTGGACGACTCTAGGGCCGCCCAGCCGTCTATCGGGTTACTCCTCGCGGATATATGCCCCCGAAGGCGCTCGACTCGTGCAACAATGGCGACGCCCACAGCAGCCAGACAAATGCCGTGGCATTAGTCATGAATCTCGGCTACGCAACACAGTACAAGATCATCCAAAGGCGCGGCAAAGCTTGACTGTATGAGCAGATCTCAGAGCCAGCATACGTGGATAAAGTGGTGCCTGTTGATCGGTCCAAGCGAGAGTGCTGGTTCCATGCATGCTCCTCGATTCGTCTCAGCCTCAGCGGGTTAGATTACCAGCTGAAGCTTGTCAATGGGTGGAGCTTGTGCTTGCGTCTTAGTGAAGATGCAAGGTGCATACGAACGACTCTCCAATCGCAGGACGTTTCCCACGCCTCTACCCCGCTGCCGTAATCACTCGAAGCTTTATATAATCTGCTATTGCCACAAATAAGGGCGGCCTCTGTTTTGCCACCAGCCCTAGTGTGAATGTTTGTTATCGGAACAGTCTGGCCTTGGGTTCGTGCACCGTTTCAGCTACGAGCGACAAGGTGTCTCCTGAAGGCAAGCGGCTCACCGGGGTCATCGACACCGCCTCTACCGTGCGCTTCGGGCTTCTAATTCTTGCATATATCTTCGCGCCGCTATAAAGAACGCCATCTTCATAATGCCAGGCGCATCAAACACATCAAACAACAGTAACCAGAGTATGCCCAGTCTTTCCTTATCGCCACATCAGCCACCGACGGAAGCTCCTGCAGCTACAACCATGGCGCGTGAATACGAGTTCTTTGTGACGACAGAAAAGCCACATCTGCCCAATGGAGCAGAGCGAGGCATGATCCGCCGGCTAGTAATGCGGAATTTCTTCGAAACAAAGACAACTGCACGCCAGGCGGGCAAATCAGAGCATAGCTCGGCAATCACAGTCATGGCAAGACAGCAACTGAACAATCGCTTCCGCCTGCCCAAATCGGGCAATGAAAATGATTCTAAACGGGAGTCGAAGAAAGTAAAGAACAAGAGCAAGGCGAAAAAAAGTCGGACACCCAAGACCACGTCAAAGACGACTGAAGGCTCACTAGGTGATGAAGCAAGACACAGCATGTCAGTGGAAACAAGTGACAAAAGCGAAGGAGAAGTGGGGAGTGTCGTAGTCAAAAAGTTCAAGCTGAGGTTAGACCCGAGTGCTCATCGTATCGACCCTTTCGACATTCTACCAGTGCCAGGGACACCGCAGTTCGACATGCTGTTTCGATTGTGTGCGTATCCTTTCAAAAACACGGTTCCACGTTAGAGGAATTATACAAGCAGGGGAGTTCTCCGCGCTGACACTAATCTAGACAAGGGCGCACCAAAGAGTAACTCGATTGCCATTGATGCCAAAAACACCTGGCCATCCTTCACCATCCATGACGCTGGTCTCATGCATGCGACGCTGGCTACCTGGGCGATTTATGGCGTGCTCGCAAAGGGGCTTAGTGAACTGCACTGCTGTCACCTAAGGCACAAGAATGATGCAATCAAGGTCATCTGTTCCAAACTCACCGAGTCTGGAGGAGTGGTCTCGGACGAGGTGATTGGCACCGTCTTGACTCTTGCCAGTTTCGAGGTGAGAAGCCTGTTCAGCCGTAAATCTCCTTGGTTGCTAACTAGGGCCAGAATCTATTCGGGGCTTATGATCAAGCCCAGTTACATCTGGTAGCTCTGAGACGCATGGTGGTGGCCCGGGGCGGCTTATTCGCATTCGGGCACAACGATGGCTTGCTGCGCGCCATTCTATGGTAAGCCTTGATACACTGGACACACCATGTGCCTGTTAACGCGGCATCCCAGGGTGGATTTCCATACTGCCGCAGCTTTCCGGACGGCTCCTTCGTTCCCGCTTGTGTGCCTTGACCCAGACGCACCCCCTTTGCCAGACGAGCTCCTGGAAGAAGCAGCATGCACGTCGCCAACATCGCTGCTTCAACTGTCTCTCGCAGCAGTCGAGACTTTCAACATATTTTACAGGTTACATCGAATCGCGCTGGCGATTTCGGCACATTGGTCTCGACGTGTTGACAGACTTACGCTCAGCAACCTCCTCTACCACACGCAGTTCATCATTCTCTCCATACCTGATCGGTCACGCGAGTTTATTGAGTTTGATAGGGATTTTGGTGAGTGCAAGGACGAGGGTTACGAGGAGCAAAAACACAGAGCAGATGCAGCCAGTGTGGTCGAAGGCCTTGTTGCTGCAACCCTTCTCTTTGTGTACGCAGCTTTACGGGGCCTACCGACGAATGCGAAAATCTTCACCATTCTCCTGGGTCGGCTGCGCATCGCCATTGACCGCCCCAGAGCCTCCATGTTCGAAGTGTGGAAGCGCGAGAAGAATCCGAAGATGCTGATCTGGGCCCTAGTTGTAGCCTGCTCTGTCGTAGTGTCGGATACAGATCACACTTGGTGGATTACAAGACTGAGCGAGTTGTGTGGAGCAATGGAGATCCGGCAGCGAGCTGAGCTAGAAGGTATCATGCAGCACATTGCATGGACAGACGTGTTCTTTGAGGACAAACTGGAGAGGATATGGACAGACATGATGCAGCATCGGCTACGCATGACGGCAACGCAGATATGGGAGCAGGAAAAGGCATACAGCGCAAAGGAATACAGCGCACCGATGGATTTCGAAGAGGGCAGATGGAAGGTGGATAACTGGTTTGTCTGACGAAGTAATCATAGCATGACCATGTTGCTGGAAAGGCTGCCATGCGCCATTATGCGTGATGACTGCATGGGCATGGGCGGCACAGGGCCATGTTTGGCGCTAGTCCGCATTCGGCCCTGGTTCGTGAATGTTCCAGGGTCGGGGAAACTAACGCCGATGGCTACGCGATGGCGAGGCATGGCGGCGGGCATAATCTTCGTAGACGGACCTTCGTCTGGCCACGACACACCCACCATGGCGCCGCTTGTCGACAACCCCCAGATCAAGCAGGCCAGCCTGCACAACCCGCTGCCATTGCAGCTGCACACGTACATCTGGCCGTTCCTCATAATATGGCCCGCCTTCTCCGCCATCTACTTCTCGCCCCAGCGCTACGAGCAGTACATCCAGTCGTCGGAATGGACCTTTGTCTGGATTGCCAGCATCACCACCTTCCAGTCGCTCTTCTGGCTCATGACGCACTGGAACGTCAACCTCAAGAGCGCCTTCACCACGACGTCGGCCAATGACGTGCGCAGCGCACAGCTCATCAAGGTGCAGCCTGTCAAGAACGCCGGCGCCGCCGAGATTGTCAAGTTGATTCGTGACAACGTCGGCGGAAAGCCAAACATCTCGTTTCTCTTCCAGAAGCGCCGCTTTCTCTACGACGCCGAAAAGGGCTCCTTTGCCCCCCTCTCCTATGCCCTTGACACCGAACCCAAGCCGCTGCTCAAGACGTTCCAGCAGACACAGGGCCTCACCTCTTTCGCGGAGATTGAGCGCCTCCACCAGCACTATGGCGACAACGCTTTCGATATCCCCGTGCCGACATTTACAGAGCTGTTCAAGGAACACGCCGTTGCGCCCTTCTTTGTCTTCCAGGTCTTCTGTGTGGGGCTGTGGATGCTCGACGAATACTGGTACTACTCGCTGTTCACCCTATTCATGCTCGTTGTGTTCGAGAGCACCGTCGTGTGGCAGAGGCAGAGGACGCTGAACGAGTTCCGCGGCATGAGCATTAAGCCCTATGAGATTCTGGTATACAGGCAGAAGAAGTGGCAGGAGGTTATGAGCGACAAGCTGCTTCCAGGCGATGTCGTCAGCGTCGGAAGGACAAAGGAAGACTCTGGCGTCGCATGCGACATGCTGCTTCTCGAGGGTTCGGCCATCGTCAACGAGGCCATGCTGTCAGGAGAGAGTACACCGGTACTCAAGGAATCGGTTCAACTGCGGCCTGGCGATGCACGCATCGAGCCTGAGGGTCTGGATAAGAACTCGTTCCTCTGGGGTGGTACCAAAGTTCTCCAGGTGTCGCATGGAAACAGCGCCGAGGAAGATGGTGGCGTTGTCCCGATACTTTCGTCAGGCGTTCCCCCACCACCGGACAAGGGCGCCATTGCTGTCGTGATCAAGACTGGATTTGAGACCAACCAGGGAAGCCTCGTCAGGACCATGATCTTCGCTACTGAGCGCGTTTCTGCCAACAACGTCGAAGCCCTCTTCTTCATTCTCTTCCTTACCATCTTCGCCGTCGCTGCCTCGTGGTACGTTTGGCAGGAAGGTGTCCGACTAGACCGCCAGCGCAACAAGCTCCTCCTCGACTGTGTCCTCATTGTCACCAGTGTCGTGCCTCCTGAACTTCCCATGGAACTCAGTTTGGCTGTCAATACTTCTCTCGCTGCGCTGAGCAAGTACGCCATCTTCTGTACAGAGCCATTCCGTATTCCCTTTGCCGGTCAGGTCGACGTGGCTTGCTTCGACAAGACAGGTACATTGACTGGTGAGGACTTGGTTGTGGACGGCATTGCTGGACTCTCTCTGGGAGAAAGCGGCGTGACCGTTGCAGCAGATGGTGCGCACACAGATCTCGCAAGGCTCACGGACGTCAGTACCGAAACTACATTGGTGCTTGCTGCCGCTCATGCTCTGGTCAAGCTGGATGATGGCGAGACTGTGGGTGAGCCGATGGAAAGGGCTACGCTTCAGTCTCTTGGCTGGAAACTCGGAGCCAAAGACACTCTCCAGGCCACGATGACTACTATCAAATCCCATGCCGAACTTGTTCAAATCCGCCGCCGCTTCCAATTTTCGTCTGCCCTCAAGCGCCAAAGTTCCGTCGCTACCGTCCTTGTTAACAATGCAAAGACGGGTCGCAAGGTCAAGAGCACAATCGCTGCGGTCAAGGGCGCGCCCGAAACTATCCGCAAGATGTTGGTCAACACTCCCCCGCACTACGAGGAAACCTTTAAGCATTTCACCCGCAACGGTGGCCGTGTGCTCGCCCTGGCGTACAAGTTCCTTTCAGACGATGGAGAATGGGGCCAAAGCCGCATCAACGATCTCAAGCGCGAGCAGGTCGAGTCTGACCTCCACTTTGCCGGTTTCCTTGTCCTTCAGTGTCCTCTCAAGCCTGACGCTATCGAGGCTGTGCGTTCCCTGAACGAGTCCAGCCATCGTGTAGTCATGATTACTGGTGACAACCCGCTTACGGCCGTTCACGTTGCTAAGCAGGTTGAGATTGTCGATCGCGAGTGCTACATTCTCGACGCGCCTGAAAATGACGACTCTGGTGAAAAGCTCGTGTGGCGTAGCGTTGACGACAAGATCAGCATTCCCGTTGACCCGACCAAGCCGCTGGACGATGAAATTCTGAAGACCAAGGATATCTGCCTTACTGGATACGCGCTTGCTAAATTCTCTGGCCAGCCTGGATGGAACCAAATTCTACGATACACCTGGGTCTACGCTCGTGTCTCGCCAAAGCAGAAGGAGGAGATTCTTCTTGGTCTCAAGGATCGCGGCTACACTACTCTCATGGCTGGTGATGGTACCAATGATGTTGGTGCCTTGAAGCAGGCTCATATCGGTGTTGCTCTACTCAACGGCACCCGCGAAGACCTTGACAAGATCGGCGAACACTTCCGCAATACGCAAATGAAGAATGTCTACGAGAAGCAGGTCAACCTCATGCAGCGCTTCAACCAGCCTCCGCCACCTGTTCCCATCATGATTGCTCATTTATATCCCCCAGGTCCTACCAACCCGCATTATGAGAAAGCAATGGAGAATCAAGCCAAGAGGAAGGGTCTCCTCACTGACGCCAACGGCGCGGCCAACGGAGCCGTAACTACTGATAACGCCGTTCAACAACAGCCTCAGGGTGCTGCCAACTTTGCTCAGCAAATGCAGGAGAAGATGATGGCCCAGGAAATGGAGGAGCTGGCTGGTGAGCCCCCGACCATCAAGCTCGGTGATGCGTCTGTCGCTGCGCCCTTTACTTCCAAGCTTGCCAACGTTGTTGCCATCCCCAACATCATCCGTCAAGGCCGTTGCACGCTCGTTGCGACGATTCAGATGTACAAGATTCTTGCCCTGAACTGTCTAATCTCCGCCTACAGTTTGTCGGTTCTCTACCTCGATGGCATCAAGTTTGGTGATGGACAAGTCACCATCTCTGGAATGATGATGAGTGTCTGTTTCCTCTCCATCTCCCGCGCGAAGACTGTCGAAGCGCTGTCCAAGGAACGCCCACAGTCCAATATCTTCAACACCTACATTATTGGATCCGTGTTGGGCCAGTTCGCCATCCACATCATCACGCTCATCTACGTCAGCCAGTATGTGCAGCGTGTTGAGCCCAAGGACCCCAACCCGGATCTGGAGAAGGACTTTGAGCCATCGCTGCTCAACTCGGCCATCTACCTGCTACAGCTCATCCAGCAAATCTCGACCTTTGCCATCAACTACCAAGGCCGTCCTTTCCGTGAGTCCATCCGTGAAAACAAGGGCATGTACTGGGGACTGGTCTCTGTTTCTGGTGTTGCGTTCTCTTGCGCCACAGAGTTTATTCCTGAGCTCAACGAAAAGCTCAAGCTTGTTCCCTTTACTACCGAATTCAAGATTATGATTACCACCATCATGGCCTTTGATTTTGTCGCTTGTTACGTTATCGAGAAGAGCCTCAAATTCTTCTTCTCGGATAACAAGCCAAAGGACATTGCCGTCAGGCGTCCTGACCAGTTGGAGAGGGAGAATGAGAGGAAACGGGCCGAGGAGCTGCAAGCGCAGCGGAAGAAGAATGAGGAGATGGTTAGGATGGCTGAGGAAAGGGGGTTGATCAAGCGTGGGTAAGGGGTTGGGATAGAGATATGTACAATGTTGGTTAGACGTGGTAATCTAGGGTATAGATGTCATTTCTCTGCTCAACGCTAGCTGCGATCAATCCATGTGTGAAGAATTTCAAATGTCCATGTCAGTGCAACTACGAACACCCTAAGTATTCATACATGTTAGGACGGTGTACGGGAATCATCTACCGCTCAATCCTATCTCCCAGATACCCCCACACATCTCCCTCATCACTACCTCCCTCTCTCTCCACCCCATTCTTCCGCTGTTCCTTGCTCCTCTGTCTACCTGGTACTCTCGCCCTCTCAGCCCCCCGCAAAGGAGCAGCATGGTATTCTCCCGCACTCTTCTTCTGCATCTGCATCTGCATCGCATGTGTATCCGGAGCATCATACGTAAAGCTCGATAGCGTGGACAGCGAGTACGTCGAATACGTCGAATCCGAATCTGAACTTGCTACTGACACACGGTGTGCGTCTTTGGGGGGCCACGGGGGATTGTGGCGGGGGCAGTGCGGAGTCTGGTTTACAGCTTGCATGCTGGGGCTGGGGCTGGGGCGAATAGGATTAATATGTTGTTGGTGTTGTTGTTGTTGTTGTTGTTGTTTCTGTAAGTAGTGATGCTGGCACTGGCACTGGAACTGGCACTGGAACTGGAACCGCGACTGGACATTGCTGCGCGGCGCTTTCAAGAAGACTGAGACGCGCATACTCGCGCAGCAGCGGATCCTCGTCTGCTTGCAGGTCGTGCAGGATATCGATTCTCGAGCGGCGTGTGCGCGACGACGCGGTCGTGGTGGTGGTGTTGGTGTGGGATCTGGGATCGGGGGTTTGTGCGCTGGGATGGGCATGTGGTGGCGTTGAGGGATCTGCTGAGTTACTTGGGATAACGGGCGTTATATCGCGGTCTCTAGGGCTGTGTCGCGCGGGCTGTGTAGTTGAGCTGTGGTGGTTTTTGCTGTGGTGGGAATGCCGGCGATGAGGAGATGATCACACACACCAACTTTTAAGCAGAAATCTTTCATCAAAACTCGTCAATTTTCTATCAGATATAGGGGTAACACGTCGCGAGAAACCGATTTACGCCACCTCTAATGTGTGCAGCCCTCTCGTTGAGGTGCTAGAGGGGGTATTGTCGGTATTCTTGCGACGTGTTCGAAATGCGAAAATCTTCGAGAACGCACAGACCGCCCCGATGACTAATAGGGAGACTACTAAACGAAACCAAAAACAATTAAAAACACTAAATAAAACAACAAAAATTAAAAATCCTATATCTAAACGCCGAGACAGCCTGATCCCGCTGTGGCACCATATCCAACCGCCAGGACAGTCTTTGCCTACTGTGGCACAAAATTCAAAAACGCTATAATAGTTTTCTAGTCTGTAATAGCAAAATAAGTCGAACGCCGAGACAGTC